ATTTCTCGGCACAAAAAAGAACGATGTTTTCTCAACCTTTCCGTGATTCTTGGGCGAACCTGCCTTAAACACGCGAAAGGACAGGTCGGCTTACACTGACGTTCGAGCTAATTGCAGCCAGAGACAGAAAGCTGAGCTGACAGCACACAGGCAGACAGTTTCACAGTATGGCAGATACAGCAACATCCGGGGAAACTTTCTGTGTGGAACTTGCCTGTGCCAACAATGGCGGGTTTGTGGCGGCACCCATGGATCCTACTACGCTATGATTGGAGAGTGTCTATCTTTGTGCCTACGGGCACGTCTTAGATCTGTTGGTCACGAGATTGCTGTGGTTCAATTTTCATTTACCCGTGCCCAAGTTTGAAAATTCATAGCCAAGTTCCTGACTGAGGCGTAGCATCGCTCTTTACAAGCTCGTCTACGATGTATAACGCTTAGAATTGCCAAGTGTATAATTGTAAGGAAGTGTTTCTTGATGTCTATAGTTTAGGATATTCATTGTTGTGACACCTTATTATATTATTGGACTTCCGCTTCCTTACTCTTTTTTCAAGTTTTTGTTGTAGCGCTGTACTCTGATATGGCCCTATTGCAATGTGAATCATAAATCGAAACAGTCAGACAGAGTGTACAAGTGGACGCTCATACTCTACTTCAATAGTCATATGTCCTTACATCGCGTCTGCGCACTAGGGGCCAGCGCTCTCCAAGTGTGCCGCAAGGCCGCTTGATCGAGAAGATTCTTAATCGTAGTATTATTATTTTTTTAATTAGGGTTGAGAGTGTGTTTTGCAGATTACATTCATTAGGATGGTGTTTAATAGGTTAACTGCAATATCTTGTGCATAATCCATATAGTTATAATTTAAATATACTAATAGATAAATAAAGTGACGGTCCTCCAGATTGATATCGCCGGTGATAACTGCAATCAGATGTGATGAAAGCGTTTGCGAAAAGATAGCTGTTGCATCGCCAAGCCAGCTTAACATTAAGCGTGCCGCATCTGCGCTCACTTCCGCGGGCAAGGGCGTCAACGCCGATATAAGAATTACCAGAGCATAGGAAGGAAGACCTTGCATGTGGAACGTCCTACGACAGTAGTGCAGCCGCTGCGCAGCCATAATGGATCACGTGCGCGGAATGCATGGTACCGACGCCCCGCGCCTGCTTACGCAATCATATTACCGCTGCACAGTGCCGGAAGTACACATCTGTGGCTACCACCTCGC